GTTACATCTTTTTTATCCGAGAATTGGACCAACATTGTGATTTCGTTTAAATCGGTTCCTTCCGCGAATCCCGATGTCGGCACTCGTGTCGTGTCCGTGTCTGTTTTCTTTTCGTTTCGTTAGATTAATTTTCGTCCGAAGCAATTCAGCATTTTATCACTAACTCCCAAGTCGTCTGTCTAATCAGCAAATCGGCAAATCAGCTGAGTGGGTGTCCGTCGAAATATTTATATATTTATATTTATATTTATAAATGGCCAAGAGGAACAGATGTGCTTCTCGAGAAATTATTGAAATGCGATATGCGACAATAGGAATTAAATTTGGATACGTAATTACACACACACACACATACACACTCGCACGTACGTAGGTTCAACTAGGTGTAAGTGGCATTATCCAAGAGGCAAGATGCAAAAAAATTCACTATAAGTGTAAACTAGTTGGTATTGGTATTTTGCCTTGAGGCAAGTTACATGAACTTTCCGATGTGTAAATAATCGACTTAATCAATAAAATGTAAATTAATTTAGTGGGGTGGGTGGCATCGTGCGTTAAGGCAAATTGCTGGAACTTTCCGTACCGTAACGAAATGTTCGAGGAATACTGAATGTTTTCAAATAGATTATTATAAATATTATAACATTGTCTAATATTTATAAGAATTGTATAAACTGAATTGCAGAGTTGAAATTATTTGTTTAAAGTATATTAGAACTATAGTCAGAATTAAAAATAAAACCTGAATTATTTTCGATATACCAAAAATTAAAAAAAAAAAAATTTTGAAACAATTTTTTTTTTCCAAAATCAATTATTTTGTTAAGACAAGCAGAAAGTTCACGCTTAGTTCTCTCAAAAACTGCCAATTTTTACATATTTAGCTCCGTATCTTCGAAATGGTTGGGCCTGCCTATGCCAAAAACTAATAAACACTTCTCCCAATCATTACTAATTGAATGTTTTTTAGATCATTCAAATCGGATACTCCGTTCTCTCAAAAAGTCGATTTCTATTTTCTGCACTCGTTGCTCCGTATCTCCGAAACGGCTGGACCTGCCTTCGCCAAAAACTAATCAGCTCTTTTCCCTATCAATAGGAATTGAATGTTTTTTAAACCATTCAAATCGGTTGATCCGTACGCCCGAAAACGTGGGCGAAAATTTGTATCCATACATACATACACACACACACACACATCCATTTTTTCTGAGGTATGTCAAAATGTTCAGAAACCTTCAAAACGTCGAGAAATGTAAAAATTTTCAATTCCGATTTTCGGCCAATTACAATAACTTACCCTACGGGAAGTTAATAATTTATGAGTGATTATAAGTATGCCGAGTGGATTTATTACACATAATTGAAAACGAACGAACACGTTAACTCAGAGTATTTTCTAAAAGCAAATTTTCACAAATCAATAATTTTTATAATTATACCAGTATCCGTAGGACTTTAATGGTTTAGTATGTTCATTAAGACCAAGTACTCTATCGTTATACCAAGTAAATCGTCTAAATTTAATTTTAACAAACGTCAAAAAAACTACTCAAGTTTTGATGAATTTTTAAAATTAAACTACTTGTCGTAAGGCCGTAATATTTCAGTAAGTTCTATAAGACCATGATATATACGCCAAAAAAAGTTCCATGAAAATCGGCTTAAATTTTTTTTAAGTGTTAATTACAAGAAAACGGCTCGGCAGATTTTCACCTAAAACTAATCAGTATAATATTCCCAACTAATAACTGTCGAACAGTTTTTGATTTTTTAAAATCGGTTCGGTAGGATGAGTTTAAATATGGACGAAAAGTTTAACACTTTTTTTCAAATTACAAAGAAACGGCTCGGACGATCGTCGCACAAAACTGAGAAACGATAATTCTCATCGAGAACATTAAATGGCTTTTAAATTTCTGAAATCGGTTCAGGCGTTTTTGAATAAACGTCGATGAAAGGTCTAATTTTGACAAATGCCAAAAAAACGATAATAATTTTTGCAAACTTTGACGAATTTTTAAAATTAAACGACTTGTCGTAGGGCCGTAATATTTTAGTATGATCTATAAGACTATGGTATCATGCATCAAGGAAAATTACTGAAACTTCACGTACCGTAATCTAAAATTTTTAATAGTTTTAAAAAAAATTTGAAAAAGAAAAAGAGTTTTGAAAAATTTTATTTTTAACTTCAGTGGGGTAAGTTATTGTAATCGTCCAAAAACCGAGATTGAAAATTTTTGCATATCTTCACGTTTTGAAGGTTTCTGAACATTTTGGCATACCCAAAAATGGATGTTGTATGTATGTATGGATACAATTTTTCGTCCACGTTTTTGGGCGCACGGATCAACCGATTTGAATGGTTCAAAAAACATTCGATTCCTGTTGAATGGGAGATGCAAGTAATATTCCCTTTAAATTCTCGGTTGGCTTTAATGAATAAACCTAATTTCCATATGGCAATACTTTTTTTCATGTTAGCAAACATAAAAAACGTAATGGGCTATGTTCAGACAATTAAACAAATCTACTTATTCCTATGACGTACAAAAATTTTTTGTCTATAAATACAAAAATTACTTTTATAGTTATTTTTAGCAATCAACAATTTAATTTTAGTATACCTTGTTCTAAAATAAGCATAAAGAACTGTGTTGTTTTAACTTAAACAATCGACCTAATCTTATTGTTAATATTTAATTAATAAACAAATATTTAACAACGCTGACGACGTCATAAGATTATAGACGGCGCACTTTCGTAGATCGGAAAAATTTATTTAAAAATAAATTCACAACAACGTAATTGATCAAATTAAAAATTGTATAAAATGTTAATAATCGAATAGTATAAAACTTATATTTAATTATTATGGTGAACCATGGCGTAACGGTTCAGCGACTGTCTTGTGTGGACCTCTGTTTTAGATAACTTAATATCATGCAATAGTGATATCAATTTTCAGTTCGAATTATAGAACAAACATATATTGCCAATTGAAAATAGCCTATTTCGGGAACTGCGGTATGAAATTGCAATGGGAAAGCAAAAATGAAAAATTGTATAAAATGTAAATAATCGAATAGTATAAAACTTATATTTATTTATTATCGTGTTTCATGGCGTAACGGTTCAGCGACTGTCTTGTGTGAACCTCTGTTTTAGATAACTTAATGTCATGCAATAGTGATAGCAATTTTCAGTTCGAATTATAGATCAAAAATATGTTTCCATTTGAAAATAGCCTATTTCGGGCACTGCGGTATGAAATGGCAATGGGAAATCTGTCTGTTCTTTTGAATCTAGTTGGAGTTTAACTCAGCCTACAGAATGTTATTATATATTTTATTATAAGGCAATACTAATTTTTACCTTCCCGAAGCAAGGGTTCATGTTTTTGCTAGAAAATGCGACATGTTAAATATTTATTTCCTCAAAATTGGAGAAATTATGTGTCATTTTTATCTTTCCGTGGGGCAAGTTATAGTAATCGTCAAAAAATCGAAAATGAAAATTTGTATATATCGTTTCAGAAGTTTCTGAACATTTTGGCATGCCTTAGAGAAAAAGTATGTTTGTGTGTGTATGTATGGACACAATTTTTGTGCACGTTTTCAGGCACACGTAACAACCTATTTGTATGGTTCAAGAAACATTCGATTCCTATTGATAGAGAAATGTGTTGATTAGTTTTTGACAAAGGCAGGTTTTGACAAATTCTAAAGCTCACTTATATACTAATTTCGCAAGTTATAGTAATTGCAAAAAATCGAAAAGGAAAATTTTTATATATCTTTACGTTTCAAAACCTTCTGAACATTTTGGCATACCTTAAAAAAATTGATGTTTGTGTATGTGTGTGTGCGGATACAAATTTTCGTCGACGATTTCGGGAACATCGATCAATCGATTTAAATAATTCAAAAAACATTCGATTCACATTGATAAGGAGACGTGCTGATTAGTTTTTGGCGAAGGCAGGTCTAGCCGTTCCGAAGATACGGGGCAAAATGTGCCAAAAACGGTAACTCGGGCGGAGCGTCTGATTTTAATAATTCAAAAATCATTTTACTTGTATTGACAAGATGAAGAACTTATCAAATTTTCATAAAGGCAGGTCTAGCGGTTTCGGAGACCTAATGAAAAAAGTAAAAAAATGCCATTTGGCGTTCAAAAATGATCATTTGACATATGCACATCAAATTATCAGATATTTTATAGAGGTTGTAATAATAAGTATAAATTTTGTTTGCATTCATATGGGTTCCGTACCAATGTTTATTCGTTAGACGGCGACGCGGCGCTTACGCGCTTTGACATTTTGTGTCCATGCGGTTAAAGCAGTACGATTGCTTTGAAAAAAGTATAGAATTCCCAATATATGTCAAAATAAAGAAAATATATTTTTTTCAAAAAAAGTAATTTTTTGTCGAAGTCCTTGTTTCACAAAAATCTAATTTTTCGAAGTAAAATTTTTTCAAAAATGTTAATCGTTTTTAAAAAAATAATAATATTTGTTACGGGAAGTTCTAGCAATTTGCCTTAAGGCACGATGCCATACACCACTAGTTAGATCCTATAACTTTCACCACTTGACTGTATCCTTTATCAAATCGTGTCCATACCTCCCGGACTATTATCACGCACACTTATCACCGTCCTTATCTCACCGTCTATCACCGTCCTTTTCACACTCTCTCTATCCTCTCATCCTTCTCTGTCACCCGTAGCAATCGCCATCATCTCTCTCTTTCGCCGTCGCCGTCGTCGTCTATGTCGTCGTCTCAGTTCGTCAGTCGCCTTTGGGCAATCGTGGAGAGAGGATTGAAATGCGCGCGGTACTTTCGTAATTTAAAATTTTTAAATAAAATATTATACCTTGGTATTTATTACATCTTGTTCTTTAAAAGAATGCACGTCGGTCGGGTTCGGTTCTAGCCGTCTGCAGGAGTTGTTCGGTTGTTGTTGTTAATGTTGATCGTGTTGTTGTTGTTGTGATTTGTTTATGTTGATGCGATTGACTTTATATCAATTGTGATGAAAGTGCGGTAAAAAGGGATTGCAAACAAATTTCTTTTTGTTGTTGCGAAAGGAGGAAGAAGAATGGTTCGGGTTGTTTCGAGGGTAAAACAATAATAATAATAATAATATATGAAAACTAGTGGTGTTCGACATATGGTAATTAGATTTGAATTAAATGAATTTTATTCAAAAAATTAGATTTTTGAAAATATTGAAAAATTTGATTTTTTGTATATTTTAAATATTTTTGGAAATTTTGAACGTCTTTTCAACGAAATCGTGCGGATGTAAAAATATCCGTACGTTTTGTAAATTTAATTAGTGTCATCAATACGTAATTTCATGATTCAGTTTAAATCATCTTGAGATTTATAATATTTATCTAATTGCTTTTTGTTGTTGTCGCGAAGGAAAAGGATAAGAAAGTTTCGGGTTATTTCGGGTTGTTTCGTGTTGACGAGGGTAAAACTATGAGTAATTTTTTATAAAAATATTCGTACGTTTTGAATTTTAATTTGTGTCATCTTCAGTGTCAATAATTTAATTTTAATTTAATAATCTACTCAATTTTATATTTATACGTCACAAAATTCATTTTTATGTCATCCTCAGAATTACGTTAATGTTAATTTGATATTTAATTTAGGACGTCCTTAGACCTGTGTTAATTAGTTAATTAAGTTAATATTTCTGTACATAATATTTTAATATTTTTTATCCATACGTTTTGAGATTTAATCTAATAATTTATTAATAAATAAAGTTCCATGATTCAATAATATCTTCTAAATAATTTCATATTTTATATTGGTACGTTTCGAAATTTTATTTGCGCCGAATTCAGATTAATATTTTTTAATTTATCATTTTATATTTAGCACACTTTTAGTCTGTCAACGAATTAATAATAGATATATTATTTATAATATAATATATTTTACATTTATATTCGTTTTGATTTTCAAAATAATTCAATTTTTTACATTGGTAGGTTTTGAAATTTTATTTGCGCCAACTTCAGATTAATCTTTTTTTTAAATTAATTAATTAATTTAGTATTTTATATCCATACGTTTCGAACTTCAATTTACGAAATCCTTAGGTCAGTGTAAAAAAATTAATTAATTAATTTTTTATTTATTTGTTTTAACACATCCTTAGATTTGTGTAATAATAATTTACTTTTTTTTATTAATCCGTGTTAATTACTTGATAATATTTCAATATTTTTTGTCCATACGTTTCGAAATATAATGTACGACATTCTTAGGTCTATTAATTAATTATTTATAAATAGATTATTTTTAATATAATATTTTACGTTTATACGTTTCGATTTATGATTTACGACATTTTCAGGTGTGATGATTGATTAATTTTTTTCCTAAATAATTTGATATTTTATATCTCAACGTTCTGAATATGTGTTTGCACGAACTTCAGATTGAAAAGTTTCTTTGCGCCAACTTCAGATTGATAATTTTATTTACCCCAACTTCAGGTTGATCATTTTTATCTAATTCATAATTTACTATTTAGGGTTGTGTTCACATTTAGCTTCGATTTATGATTTACGACATTTTCAGGTCTGATGATTGATTAACTCAATTAATTATTTAATAATATCTTCTAAATGCCATAATCCAATATTTTATATTTCAATGTTTAAAAATTTCATTGGCGTCAACTTCACATTAATGATTTTTCTTACAACTCTCTTTTTTTGCAATAAGCTAGAAATAAAATAAGAGAGCAAAGCTTATTCTTAGGCATATTTTTTATTGTCATTTAACTATTAATTTTCTTAAAAATGCACTTAATTTTCTTTTATTGTGGTCAAGAAATTAACCAAACAAAATTCGATTCAAATAAAGATATTAAGCGTGTAATTTAATTTACTCCGAACTCAATAACAATTTAATTAACCAATAAAAAACCATGCACATAATAATTTTATCATTTGATTTAATTTATTTTATTCACATTCAAATCGGTACATTTTATTATTTTATTATTGTTATAACTTGAATATTTATGTAAAACAATTATTCGAACCGTTTAATAACTTAATTTATTATAACTTAAAGTGATTCGTTACACTCCCACGCTACGAAAAAATAAATTTGCCACCATTAAACATTTTAATATATTTATTTAATAGCTTAAACATATTAAAATACAGAACCTTTATTATTTCCTATTTCGATATTTCGATCTAATTTATTAACGTAGTTTCGTGTACTTTGAATGTACAGCTTTTAGTTTTTTTTTTCTTACGTTGGAATTGTTTCATATTTTGCTAATTTCATTTTGTAAAAAATGCTCCTACAGCAATTTCATGAAGTTTGTCTTTACTATTTTAATAATTATTATATACTTCTATTTCAAATAATAATATTTTATTTAATTTGATTTATTTTATGCTTACGATTCAATATAATATTTTATTACATCAGACAATAATTCGTTTTTCCTTACGTTGGTAGTGTTTCATATGTTGCTGTTTTCACGTTGCTTAAAAAATGAAGTTTGCCTTTACTCTTTAATTATTATGGCATATTTCTATTTCAAATACTATATTTTAATTTTGATATAACATTTTACAGATCATGATTAACATTGTGAAAATTTAGTTTATTTCGATCTAATTCAATTTTTTATGCGCAATTTTATAGCAACTTAAAATCTAAATTAATATTTCATATATTTCAACATCGAGCTCCCTGGCAATTTGACATCGGGCAGCAGCGATGTCAAATTTCGCTTGAATTATAGATCTAAAATATATTTTCATTTGAAATGAAGCACATTTCTGGTGCACTGCGAAGTGAAACGGCAATGGAAAATCTTTTACGCTATTCTTACCTGAATCGAGTTGGAGTTCAACTCAGCTCACGGATCTGTCCTAGGGCATATTTATTTTATTCATATTTCAAAATATTAAAAAAAAAGTTAATGTTGGTAATACTGGGAAAGTTATATTGGTAACATTGGTTTTTCAATTAATACATTTTATTTCATTGCTCGAACTTCAGATACGTTTCTATAAATAATGTTGCACTTATTTAATATATTAAAAAAATAGTTGTTCGTAACACCCGTTAATTTAATATAATTTAATATTTATCTATAAAATTATTAAAAGTATGTTTTATTTCTTTAATATATAAATCAATAAATAAATGAATAAATTTATTATCCATAGTGAAGTTGTGTACGTATGAAATCAATCATGGCGGCCAATATGGCGACGAGAAAACTGTAATTCAGCCAAAATGTTAAACTTTTATTTAAAAACTGTTAACTTTAGTGACTGTTAAATCAAATAAAAAGTGATTTTTAAAAAAAGTGAAAGAATATGCACATGGAGAGGATTTTAATGGTGAGTTGAATAATAATAATTTAAACATAAGATAACATATAGAGAAGAATTTAAGTTATGTCGTGTACTTATTTTAAAATACGGAAAATACGGAAAGTAGTAAGTTAAAAAAAATCCATTAATCCTAACCTAAAATTATCATTTTAATTCCTCGAAAAATCACATTCGCCGTCGTCACATCCTGTCGCATCCCACTTACGTGTCCGTGTCTCACGATCATAAATAACTCAATTCATAAAACCTTATCTGATCGGATCGGAGGGGTTTTTGAAAATTATAAAAATGTAAACAGTCATCATCGGCCAAGGGGGCTCTCCTCGGGCTACTACCTATTTTGTAATTATTTCGGGACCCTGTGAGGTCCACGTACCGTTTCCTTTTGTTCCTTTTTATTTTTATATTGCCCCTTATGTCTAGACAGGGATAATGGGATCGTGATAAATTGACCGACGAGGAAGGAGGAGGAGCAGGGAAATTGTCCGACGTTTCGATTTTTAATTCACAAAAAAAAATCAGAAAATTGAAATTCTACAAAAAAATGAACACTGATAAAGACGAGATTATGAATAATGACTGTTAATATTTTATTAGAATTTTATTTTAAAACATTCATTTTGCATAATAGTTTAAGTCATCATCAAGATCCAGAATTTTTAGATAAATCAAAAAAAAAAATCTCGTAAAATATTATTAGCTTATTTTACGCGTTTGTTTGAAAATACTATTTTTCTACGTCTTCAGATCTGGTTAATTTTGTGCAAACTTCAATAGATAAATAAAAAATAGTTAATGTTGGTAACACTTTTTTTATCTGACCACACTTCATTCCTAACTTAAATGTTAATATTTGAATGTTGGCAATACTGTTTTCGAAGATTGATTGGTCGAAGTGATACTAAAATATATATTTTTATTTGAACGTTTCGATATTTAATTAATGTCATCTCTGATACTCAAATAATATAAAATTTTCTAACTTCACTTTAGATCATCCGTTCATCAGGGTTCAATTTGACAAAGAAGAGAAATATTATATTTTATGACTAAAATATAACGAATGTTTAGATATTTAATCAAATCATTATCAGGGTATAAAAATAATTTTTAAAACATTTTTAAAAAATGTCTTATGTTTCGTCTTTCTTTTAATACACGTCGTCTTCAGGGTTCAGTTTTGTCTAAGTTTTTCAATTTTCAATTCATAATTTTATTTTGAAGTTATGACTTTTATAAAGTTTCATAACAATTTATATGTTACATTATGTTACATTTATATGACATTATTTATATTATATTGTTAATGTCAATAAATCCGCCCATGTGCCCACTGCCTTATCAAATTTCCATACAAAATACTAATCTAAGGGTGCGGACACACTTGTCTATTTCGGTAAATTGACAAAATACATTTATTATTATTAAATAAATCTTTATTAAATAAATCTTATCATTATTATATTATTTATTTATTGTTCAATATACGATTTTCGTTTTACGTTCGGAAATATTTTGAATTTATTTACATTTTTTGTTTCAAAAATACTATTATTAATTCATGAATCTTTATTTAATCATAGTGTTAGCCACTTTTTTGTATCCTTCTTCAAGTATTATTATTATTTTTTTAGTTCACATTGTTGTGTTTCAATATCACTTAGATTTATCTATAGAACCATTTTAATCTTATTTAGTTATTTCATCTAATTTATTACGTTTATTTAATAATTTATAATACTTCTAGTATTATTTTGATTTTGGTTTCAATTTTTTACTTTTCAAATAATATTTAGATTTATTACCATTTACCATTTCATCTTTTATTTTACCCCTAATGCTGCCCTGTAAAAAGTCCATTTAAATATTAAACCTGATTATCTATTGTGATGTCAAAATTTAACGATCGCGTCAAGTACTTGTCCATTGTTGTCCTAAGGGTCATAAAGACCTCCTTGAAGGAAATAAAAAAGGATACGACTACCTGGGTTGAATTATAATATAAAGCTCGGTGTTAGTGGCAATTTGCCTTAAGGAAAATTTGAATAAATATAATCGACTTTTAATTGAAAAATATTTAATTCAAAAGAGTTTTTCAAAATTTTGACACATGTCATTTTTGTAATTTAAATATTTTAGTAGTGGCTGAGATGACATGGATTAAGTGTCAAAACGTTAATTAAAAAATGTTATATATACATTTATAAATATATTTGACATAATTTTATCTGCGAATGCTTCTCAGAAAATGATTCACATTTCCAACTCGTGCGCGTATGACAAATGCAAATCTATTTTTTTCTCAAATAATTTGTGGTTTTGTTTTATGATCTATTTAGCTTCTCGGAATAATAATTCATGCGCTTTTCAAATTACTCACTTCATTCATAAAATAAAGATAAAAGACACAAACACATTTATAATAATATAATTTTTTTTGCAAAATAATTGTTAAAAAAACATGGCGGTTGCCGACATTTTGTTTTTCATATTCGCTTTATATAAAATTATAATAAATATTATTAATAAATTTTAAACAAATAATATATATATATATATATATATATATATATATATATAATTTATTTTTAAATACTTGTTCACAATTTAAAAAAAAACTTTTTTTTCTGTCAAAATCTTTTTAACATTTAAACGTGCCGCCATTTTGTTTTTTTTATTTCTTGTTGTTTAAGTTTTTAATAAATATTTATTAAAAAATATTAATACAAATACTTGCTAAAATAAATTTACACTTTATTAAGTATTATTTTCACTCTATATTTAACATAAAATACATTTTACTTGAAACATAATTAATTGACAATTATAAAATTGACATTTGACACTTGTCAATAAAAATGGAGTTTAGTAAAACTTAATCAGTTTTACTAAACTTTATTTTTATATACAAGTTTTTATGTTTTTGTATAAATTTTGATTCCAAGAATATTTATATAAAATTCTAACGATATTTTTTTTTAGTTAGTTTTAGTTAATTCTTATCAAAACCTTATTAATATTTATTAAATTATAATAAAATAGTTTTAGTTAAAACAAATCTGAAGTTTATTGTAAATGTTAACACGTTCTATATTTCAATTATTACTCGTTGTTTGCAATTAATTCTAAATTAATTCTTATTTAAATTCTAAATAAATTACTTGAAGGTGACACAAACTTAGTTCCGAAACGTCGAATATAAATAAATCCATTAAAAACTATGTTTTGACTTCAGATATAATTTATTTATATTATATATTTATCAAAGTATGTAATGAATATAGCCTATTATCAATTTTTATGTGTGTAGTGAATATAGCCTATTATCAATTATTATTGTTGTGTTATATGAAACAACAATTGACTGAAGATGACACAAACATATTTACGAAACGTCGAAAATAACTAAAACACTTCGAAAAAACATTTTAAATCAATTTGGCTTTAGATATAATTATATTTATGTACTTGTCAAAGCGCGTAATGAATATAGCCTATTATCAATGTTTAGTGTTGCCATATGCAATAATTGTGTATTTAATAGAAAACTTGATGATGAAATAAAATTTGTTATTATATATTATTATTATTATATTATCTTTTTATTTCAGAATGATGTCAAATGAAAGAAGACGCCGGCATGGATTTATCTCTCTTAGGATTACGGATTGTACGGAACCCTTTAGGGTTCTTCTTTATGACGATTTTAATCCTTTTGTCAATAATTTGTTCAACAAGCGCAGAAAGCAGAGTCGGAATAGGTATAGATATTAATATACAAATTTATTATTTATTAATTTAAATTAATATATAAATAAAAAATAATTTCATACAAATGGCTGCCTAACTTTAAATGGCTGCCAAAAATTTTAAATGGCTGCCAAGAAAAACGTTAGATGGCGGACCCAAAAGAAAAGTTTTATGTTTTGAATATAATTTTTGGAATATTTAACTGTTAATAATGGAAAATCATTTCATGAAAATGGCTGCCTAACTTTAAATGGCTGCCAAAAATTTTAAATGGCTGCCAAAACAAAATCGTTAGGTGGCTGACCTAAACATTTTTTTTATGTTTTAATATAATTTTTGGAATATTTAATTTTTTTATTCTTTCAATAATTTTTTGAATATTTAACTGTTAATAATGGAAAATAATTTCATGCAACTGGATGCCTAACTTATAAATGGCTGCCCAAAATTCTAAATGGCTGCCAAATAAAAAACGTTAGGTGGCAGACCCAAAAGAAAATTTTTAAGCTTTCAATATAATTTTTGGAATATTTAACTGTTAATAATGTAAAATAATTTTATGCAAATGGCTGCCCAAAAAGACTTTAGGTGGCGGACCCAAAAGAAAATCTATTTGCTTTGAATATAATTTTTGGAATACTTAACTGTTAATAATGTAAAATTATTTTATGCAAATGGTTGTCAAAATTCTAAATGGCTGCCAAAAACAAAAACGTTAAGTGGCATCCCCAAAATAAAATATTTTACCATTGAATATAATTTTTGGAATACTTAACTGTTTAATGTAAAATAAATTTATGCAAATGGCTGCCTAACTTAAAATGGCTGCCAAAAAAACGTTAGGTGGCCGTCTCAAAAGATTTTTTTTTATACTTTGAATATAATTTTTTGAATAATGGAAAACAATTTCATGCAAATTTTAAATGACTGCCGTTAAAAACGTTATATGGCGGACCTATAAGAAAATTTTTATGCTTTTAAATGTAATTTTTGAAATATTTAACGACTAGATCTACATGTGTTTTTTTCTAAAGTTTCTCATTATTATTCTTTGTAATAATTTGTCAGAAAATAGTTTTTGACGATTTTAATTAAACTTCGCACCGTAGAAAAATTCGTGGTTTTAAACCTAAACGAACATATTAAAATATTATTATAGGCCTATGAAAAGTGGTTTCTACTTAGCCCTTATCACATACACCGTGCTTGTTCTAATATCAATTT